TCTTTTTTCTCACCCCCTTTATCCAGTCTGATCAGGTCTTCCTTTAGTAGAGAATCTGACCAGTTCTTACCACCTCCACTCCTATCACTCTGGTCTCTCACCTCTGATAACCTCTCAGTTGGTTTTCCTGCTTCTGCCTTTGCCCTCTTTCACTTCGTTTTCATTATAGTAGTGAAAATGATTAAAATACAAGTTAGATCATGTCACTCCTCTGCTTAAAACCTCCTCTCAATGGCTCCCCATTTCAGAATAAAAGCCAAAGTCCTTACAGTGACGTAAAAGGCCCTACACAATCTGCCTTCTACACCCTTTACCCCTCGATTACCCTGTGCTAGTCACATAGGCTTTCCTTACTTCTTTAACACAGTTTTCTCTGTCTGGACTGCTTCTCCCAGATATCCACAAGACTAACTCTCTCACCTGCTTTAAGTCTTCATTAAAATGTCCTTAATGAGGCTTACTCTAATCACCTTATTTAGAATTGCAAATTGACGCCCCCCCCCTTGCAGCACTCTTGATGCATTTTCCCTTACTGTTTTTTCTTTTCCATAACACTTAACATTTTCTAACATACTCTATAATTTACTTATTTATTTTTTATTTTTAAATTATCATGCAATAAAATTAGCAGCACCCCCCCCTCCCCCACACACACACATCCGTTTAGGTATATAGTTCTGTATATTTTAACACACGTATAACTGTGTCCTACTGCCACAATCAGGATACAGGACAGTTCTGTGCTCCAAAAAAATAATCACATCTTCCATCCATAACCCCTGGCAACCACTGATCTGCTTGTCATATAGTTTGTCTTTTCAGTAATGGGATTATGCAGTACATAACCTTTTGACACTGGCTTCTTTTTCTAAGCATATTGTCTTTGAGATTTATCCAAGTTGCTGAGTATATCAATCAATAGTTCATTCCTTTTTATTGAGTATTATTCTATTCTGTAGCTATACTGCGATTTATCCATTCACCCATTGAAGGACATTTGGGTTGTTTCCAGTTTGGGCACTTATGAATAGAACTGCTGAAACATTTATGTACAGGCTTTTGTGCAATTATAAGTTTTTATTTCTCTAGAATATAATTTACTTAGTAATTATATTCATCTTTTTTTGCATGTTCACAGACGTATTATTCTTAGCCTCAAACAGTTCCTGGCACTTACCAGGTGCTTACTAAATTAGTAAATATGCAGTGTTACTTAAAAATGGAAAGGTGGAGTGAAACCAGAGTTACTCTGAACACATTCAGGGTCTATTCAAACCCCAAGTGGCAGGGGACTTGAATTGAAAGATACCTGCTAGTTGAGAATGTAAAAGGCTTTTACTGAAAGTAAATGTTTTTGGTAGTCATTTATCAGATTTGGAGGAGGAGCTTGAGATCAGGTTGAGGAGAAACCTCTTGGGAGAATACTTTAATAATGATGTCAACATAACTAATTTGTGAGCAAAATGAAATGCCAGTTCTTTTTCCCTAAGGGATAACCCAGAAGAAACTTGCCTACAAAAACAGGGGAAATAATGACACCATTCTCCCTACATTGTCTGACCCATTTAGTTTCACTTAAATTCAGTAAAGATTACCAGATGGGATAAGAAAAAGAAGAGCTTTCGAATAAAGAGGAAAATAATGATTAAATGAAAGGTCGATATTTATAAGGGAGAGTGATCGATTTACTGGAATACTTGTGTTAACAGCCATAGGCTATGAAGTATCTTTTGGATAAGCTTTTAAGTGACATTTGATTTAAAATCAGATGCTGCTTAATGCCCCAAACTGGAATAGCAGTGTACCTCATTAAAATGCATGGACCTCCTGTAACCCTATTCTTTAGAGTATGGAATTCAGTAAGGATCAGTTGGATCTTGGATCTCATCCAGTGCATTATAGTTTTTGAAGGCTCAACAAGGTTTCACTATAAGGTGATTCCATGTGTAAAGTTTGAGCAAGGTTTCAGAATAAGTTTTTTTTATTTTAAAAATAAGTTTCTATTGGTATAAATGTTCTCAACTCATAAAAATTTCAGGTATATAGAACTATATGAAGAAAGAAATGCAATCCTACACTTATATATAAATACTATTTTGATGAAAATCCTTCCAGACATCTTTCTGGTGGGTATATGGTACATGTATATATTTTTGTTACTCTAAAGAGAAGGGACTGTAGTGATGCTTTTAATGTGGGGGGAAGCCCCCCTCATTTTCAATAAGAGTGATCAGTGCATAGAAGAAAGAAAATTAACTTCAGCCCTAAACACCTAAAACACTACAAACATCAGTGTTTAAACATTTTGAGGATGATCTTTATCAGGAAAAATGAATTCTGAAACATATTGTAGGTTCTGAGTTGACCTGAATGCCATGCGGGAGTGTTGGGGCTTTGCTTATCCATCCAAGTATCCAAGTTAAAAGCACTGTGGCAACTAGGGAGGCCTAAGTATAGGACTAAAACAAAACACCATTAACTTCCCACCTTTCCCAAATCTCAGGTAAATTAGAAACAAATATCTATTTACTGTTCCTCAGACATTATGGATGGCCAGGTAGATGGGGATGTGGGCATCATTGTTGTCAGCTCATGTGAAACTTATTGGTCTCTTAAAGCTGTGCAACCGACTGTGTATGTATTATTTAAATATGTGCGTTTTATTTAAATATGTGTGCAGTAATCAGTTCAGTGATGCTGCTGTGCTTGAATGAACTTCTGAGTAGATCCTAAAGGGTCTTTTTCTAACCACTATAATAATCGAGATTAGTCATTTAGAATGTCTTTAATTTTACCCATTTAGCCCGATAGTTGTTATACTGCCTTAAATAGTTCAAAAAGCAAGTCTCTGCCATCGGCAGTGACTGGAAACTGTAGGAATGTCTGCCAAAGTTCTTGTGATCTAATCCTCTCTTGAAAGTACAAAGCTAAAGCATGTATTGAAATGCCTGAGTCGGCCGCTCATTTTTCTAGGATGAAAAAATCTCCTTGGCGACCTGAGGCAGCTAGCGTTAATTCTCTCCATTTAGAAGTACATGTATTATAGCTATGCACAGAAAGCACATACATATATATATGAACACACCTATACTATATCTAAATGCTGGTATGGCATTATTATATTTTCTAGAATTATGCTTCATTTAAGCAGATCTTTTGTTTAGTAACTTATAAGAAAATAACTTCACCTTTTCTTTTGATTGCTGTTTAAAAATTTTAACTTCTCAAACTTTCTAACTTAGAGAAGGAAAAGAAGGACACCTACTATTTATTGAATTTTTAGTGCGTACCTGGAATTTTTACTCGTTTAACTCTCATTTTATACTTGGGGACCTCAGAACAGGCAAGTGAAGTCACATAGCTCTGAGATGGCAAGCACAGTCAGTATTTAAACTAGGTCTGTATGATTCCGAAGACCTCTCTTTTACCATAGCATGCTGTAGAATGAACTATAGGATGCTAAGCTTATAAAAGACTATTATCAATATCATTAAGTAAAAAGATATAAGATGCAGGACAGTAAGCATAATGTACTGCCACAGTGTGAAATGTGTGTATACATATATATGTATTCACATGCGTGTGTGTCTGTTTTACATACACTTAGAATACCTAGTGTATCTGTGGAAGACCATGTGGTGTTTGCCACCAGGGATGGGAACTGGGCTGCTAGAAATCTAGGCTTATTATAAAATCTTTTATACCTTTTGAATTTTGTTTTATGTGCGTCTTACTTATTTTAAAAAGAAATTGTTTTAAAGACTGTTGTTAGTGTTTTTAGAAACATCTGATTATTTTTCAGATTTACTAATCTATTAGCAAAATTTCATAGACTTGTAAAGCTTCTAATCCTACAAAATGTTAATGCTAGCTATTATGATACTGATAAGCATTGATAATGATCATATCTTTCTAGTTTTCAATTCCCATTAGATGCTACTCTAATGACCTGCCACATTGGAATTTGAGAGGGAGGTAGAATACTGATGTAACATAGTGATGTTAGAAGAAGTAACGGTGACTGATTCATCTACATTCAACCATTTCTTTCCTTTTTATTGCTATTTAAGATTTTAAGAATCTTTAGTTTATCTAGTTCTGGAAACAAGCATACCATGCCTCAGATGACAGTAGTTGCTGGTCATGACTGAGGGAAAGGAAGTATCTGATATAAGTCCTAAAATTGAACTTAAAAGAAAAAAGTTTCCCGTATACTGAAAGCTGTATTTTAATTTTGGGCTACCATTCGTGGAAATACCTTATCTTGAATACACTTTATTTTTGTACTTCTTTGTTCTTGTTTTTAAAACTGTAATGATCTATTTACATAGCTGTATCCCTTACTAGACTGGTCGTTCCTTGAGAGCAGGGCCCATGCCTCATTTTCTCTTAACGCTTGGTAGTTGGCTAAAATATTGGTTGAGTTGATTCAAATTGAACTAGAGATACTTAGCTTAGTTGTGGCTGGTCAACTACCATAACAGTTCAAGTATTTAATTATTCATTTGTTCCTTCACTCATTTACTGAACAGATACTGTTCTAGATGTGGATATTAAGATTGAATAAATCACAGCCTCTGCCCTCGGGGAAACTCAACAGCCTGCAGGGGGAACAGAAGTTTTAGCAAAGGATTATAACCCAGGGCGCTAAGAGTTTTTTACAGAGACATAATGGTAACACTCTGGAGAGAGTGGACAGGAAAATCTGCTGAGGAGGTGACGCTTGAGTAGCCTTAACCAGGGAGACAAAAGGAGAAAGGAGACCTAAGCAGAAGGAACAGTACGTGCAAAGGCTTAGAAGTTAGTTTTTAGAATAGAGTAATGGCATTTCATTTAGATTACATGCCCTTAAAGGACCCTGCAATCTTAAGATACTGTGTGCTGGCTCTTTAACTTAGTATATTGTTTTACTTCATGCCAAATATTTCATGTGCGTGTATTTCAGTTATCATATTTTATAGGAAGCAAAAATACTAATCTCCTTTGATTTTTGTTCACAGTCAAGTTCATCCGAGAAGTAACACCGTATATCAAGAAGCCATCATTAGTATCAGATCTGCCATGGGAAGGTGCAGCTCCCCAGTCACCAAGCTTTAGTGGCAGTGAGGACTCTGGTTCTCCGAAACACCAGAACAGTACCAAGGACAGGAAGGTCATCCCTCTCAAAATGTGTTTTGCTGCTAGAAACCTAAGCATGCCGGATCTGGAGAACAGGTGAGCTGTTCTTAAGCAGAGCATCATACTTACAGCTTTGCAAACTTAAAGACATGTCACAATATTACTTATGCATATTATTATGTGATAATACAACTGTCGACTAAATTATACAGAAGAAAACATCAGTCTGAGATGAGAATAAATTTCGGAGTTTCATATTTAAATTCCTTATACATATATGTACGGTACATATATAGAAAAAGTTTGGACAAACACATAGGAAACTTAATGGTGGATTCTCCTGGGGAGTGAAATGGGATTAGAAGGTAGAAGGAAAGAAGGGGCTTCTATTCCTCATTTTATACCTTTCTGGAGTGTCGTTATTACTTTTTTTCACTATGAACATTTTTCAACTTTATAGTTGAAAAAAAATCTTATTAAAGAAATTTTTTAAAATGTCTCTTTAGATGGAAATTTCTTGCACTGTGGATAGTGTAAAGAATCAGAGATCTGCATCGTAGATCTGGCTGAATCAGCTAGCAGTGTGACCCTGGCGAGTTAGTTTCTCTTGACCCAAGTTTCTTCATTTGTAAAATGAGAGAGTTGGATTGGATTATTTCTGATGTCCCTCTTAGTTCTATAATCATTTGGGATCTATGACTTTGTCTTCATTAACTCCATGAAGTGATACTGGTAAACCTAGTGTTAGGTTAGAGATTAGGGGAAAAATAAGAGATAAAGAAACTTGTCCAAAGACATAGTTAATGACAAACTTTTTATAACAAGCTTTCATTTTTAAGATCTCCTCTGAACTGAATGCACAGCCAGGTGTCTAATCAGAATAGGATGGATCATAGAAGACAGCAAGAAGCTGAATGATTTTCTTGGGTATTTTAAGCCCTAGAAACATTAAAGCTCCTGTTCTGTAATGTATCATGTGGTATGCTCTAAAGAGCTGAGCTCTACAATCAGACAGACCTTGATTTGAATCCTTACCCCATCACTTGCTCAAAGGAAGGCTCTGAGCAAGTCGCTTCACCTCCATAAACTGCCATATCCTCCTCATCTGTTATAAAAAAGGAAATAATAATACTTAACTCAGTGTATAGATTAAATCTGAAAACCTTTGCATAGAGCCAAGCACGTAGTAGGTTCTCAAGAAATAATACCTTTAAAAAGTCTTAACTGCTAACTCTATACACATTTTGAAAATTATATTCTGATATACTTGTATTTTTGTTACCTTTTATTTTTATCTTTATTTTTTATTTTTTTTGTTGCCTTTTAAAAGTTCGAGAAATTGTTATTTTACATGTGTATTCATGAGAGTGTATTTATATTGGATCATATCTAAGTGTAACAGCTTGATCTTTAAAGAAATGCTATATTTATTTTTTCATAAAGTAAGAATTTAATTTGTAAAGTAAATAGTCACTTCTGCCTCTTAAATTCAAATTAAAATTTTTTTCTTCAAATGAGATACATTTATGTAGAACCTTTGGTCTGTTACTCATGGACTTAAGGAAAAATTAGATAGTAGAGACCATAGAGAAAGAACTAGAATAGAGAAACAATGCAATAAAAAACAAAAAGCAGTTAAATTTTTCAACTGGTTGTCAGGCTGAGGAAAGTATTCAGGCTAAGGCCCTTCATTATAAATCATTTCCGAGAATGAGAATAGATAACCTGTTCGGGCTTCTGTTACAAAATACCAAAGACTGGGTGGCTTAGAAACACCAGCAGTTTATTTTTCACAGTTCTGGGCAAGACTGGGAAGTCCAAGATCAAGGCTCTGGCAGATTCAGCGTCTGGTGAGGGCCTGCGTCCTAATTCACAGATGGGTACCCTCCTTGCTACATCCTCACATGACAGAAGAGTCTAGAGAGCTCTCTGGGGTTTCCTTTATAAGAGCAGTAATCCCATTCACGTGATTACCTCCCAAAGGCCCCATCTGCTAATATTATCACATTGCGGGGGAGGTAGGATTTTAACATATGAATGGGGGAACACAGACATTTAGTCTTTGGTACCTATAGTGCTGCTGATATAGCTGGATATTGGATAAAAAGGCAAAGTATTTTAAAGTTTGCGTAGAACTCGGGTTGTGCTAGTGGGAATAGAAAAGGAGGAAGGTGATATGAATTGGCTATATTGCTGAAAGTTGCGCTACGTTATCATCTACTAAGACATCTTTAGAGCTTAGTGACTTTGGCCTTCATTAACACTTGGGGCTGCATTCTCTTTAGCGTTTAAATATACTAAAGACATACGATGGATAGTCAGGTTTGAAATAGGTCTTCAGAATGAATTGGAGAGGGCAGTTTGAGTTACAAAAGTTGTATCACACCTTACTCTTCAGTAAGATGGATCAGTCTACTTAACCATGGTGTACTATACAAGGAGAGGTCTTAGAAGATTCCGGCTATTGCAGATTCCGAGTCGTCATGCTGCAAAATAGTGTTTCTAATTTTACTTGAAATATCAAGATTTAGAGATGATCTGTTTTGTGTAAAATATAAATTGAAAGAGATTCAAGGTTATTTCTATATCATTCTTACTTGCAATCCAATGTGCTTTCTAGAGAAAAAGAAAAGCAGTAGAATTACAAGTACCTGACAAAATTATGCATAACTTATACCCAATGGAATGTGAACATCTGTTAGGTCTTGACAGAAAAAAAAAATAGTGAGAACCACTGACTAATTAGACAGAAGTTAGGATGATGGTCTTTGTAACTTTGGCTAAACTATTTGTTTCCCACAAGCCTTGGTTTTCTCCTGTACAAAATGAAAGGTTATGTGAGGATTAAATAAGAGAATAATTGTAAAATTAGCATGGTAATCTCGCAATATATTATTATAGGTGCTGTTAGTGTCCTTATGACCTCAAATAAGTCCCTTAATTTTTCTTTTCTCCTGCTTTCTCTGTCCGTAAAATGGACATAATACTACCTGCTTAACTTTACTCTTTAAAACTACTTCAAGGATAAATAAAATAATATCTATAAAATCACTTGGACTCTTTGATCCTTAAATTCATCTCCGCTCTGTCAAAGAAAGTGTCATGACAGGTAACACAGCTTCAGCATTTAAGCCATGCAGAAAAACAGTTCATATAGGAACAGCAAAAATAAGTTTCATCAGAACATCTGTCACCAAGACACTTATTAAATTGCAGCTTGTAACTAACTGACCATGTTTCTATTTGAAAATCTGAATCTTCCACATAGTCTCTTGTAAAACTCTGGGCAAGAAATAGGCTTAGATGCTCCCTAATCTGGAAAATACTTATGAATCTGTTTTTAAGCCATAGGTAGGCATGTGGTTTCCCATCATTCTTCATTTTTTTCGTAACATTATGAAAAACTTCAGATAGCAAAGTCAAAAGAATTTTATAGTCAACACTCATTTTTCCACCACTTGGATTCTACCATGAACATTTTACTATATTTGCATTATCACAGATTAGCCCATCCATCCATTTGCCAGTCCATCAATTTTTTCGATGCATGTCAAAGTGAATTACAGACATTAATATACTTCCCTTTAAATATTTAAGCATGCATATAAATAACTAGAGTTCATTGTTTTGTTATAGTTTTTCTCTTTTGAGGAAATATTTATATAACAGTAAAATGCACAAATCATAATTTTGACAAATATATACAATTTACACAACTTAAGCCTATTAAGATATAGAACATTATCATCACCCTGGAAAGTTTTCTTATGCCCCTTCTTAGTCAGTTCCCTCACCCACCTCCCAAAGCAACTACTATTCTGACTTTCTACCATTAGATTAGTTTAACTACTCTAAAACTTCATGTAAATGTAATCATACCATGTGTATTCTTTTGTGATAGAATTCTTTTACTCCACATTAGGTTTTTGAGATTCATCCATCTTGTTCCTTGTATCCATAGTTCTTTCTCCCTATTCCTGAGTAGTGTTGTGTTGTATGACTATATTACAGTTTCTTTATCCATTTTCCTATTGCTGGACACCTGAGATATTTCCATTCTGGGGCTAATATTAATAAAGTTACTATGAATATTTTTATATAACCCTTTTTGTGGGCATACATTTTCCTTTCTCTTGAGTAAATTCTTAAGAGTAGAATTGCTGGGTCAAAAGGTAGGTGTATGTTTAGTCTTTTAAAAAACTACCAGACTTTTTCCCAAAGTGATTGTGCCATTTTACATTCACACCAGCAGTGTGTGAGAGTTTCCATTGCTCCACACACAGCCTCTCCAACACTGACAATGTCAGTCTTTTTAATATTAACTATTCTAGTGGGTCTGTAGGAATCTCTTCGTGTTTCATTCTTCACTTTCTAAACCAAAAACTTATTCGACATGAGAGGGAAACATCCTTTTCTTCTGTTTTACTACTTCGAGTTCGTTTCACTGTCTAGAGCTAGAAAAAATGCTGACCATCAGAATGAGTAAGCAAGGAGGGGGAGGAAGTTTGTTCACTTGTTCCACCTCATGACCTCACCAGATGCTTCTGATAGTTACAAGCAGTTCATTCTGGAAAGTGAAAGCTAAATAGATAATGATGAAGTCCGGGTAGAGAACATGAGCCCATTGTTAGCAAACAGCTTCGTGGGCATTGTGGAGTTTAGCAAGGACAAGGTGTTCTTAAACACTGTTTTTCGGAAATGTAAATCTCTTGCCTTTGAGCTGGTTCATCTTCACATTGGCTCTTTTCCGTGTAAGAGGTAAATTTTGGCTTTATGACATATAAAACAATATGAGTATTACTAAATTATACATGTAGTTCAATTTTGTCAAAGACTTTACTAAACAGAAGAAATAAGCAGGCTGGACTTACTCCTCTGCTTCTGTGTACCTAAACATTGATTTGATTCATATGATCAAAATGTAATTGCATTTCTCAGGAAATCCTCAGTGGTTTGACTAGAAGCCAAAACGCTTCACACTGTAGCTGTTTCCTCCTCTCTCCTGTGAACCCAGACAATTACTGGCAGATTGCCTCCAAATTTTTATGAGAGGAGTTTTTATATGAATTTTTCTTTTAAAACAGCAGTAGGCTTTA